GGGGCGGGGGAGAAGGAGCGGTAGCGGGAGAGGAGCGTGGTAGGTTGGGGGGCCCGGCTGCCGCTGTGCGTACAGGGAGGGGTGCTCCAGGACCCCCTTGGCCGCTCTGTGCTGGGACCCTGACGCCGGTGTCTGCTCTCTTGCAGAAGATGGCCCAGGAGGGCCGGCCGGTGGAATGCTCGTCCCTTGGCCCGGTTCCCCACCGCCCCTCCTTCGAGCAGGGCAGTGCTGTGGCGACTGTTCCTCCCTACCTGGGCCCCGACACCCCGGCTCTGCGCACCCTCAGCGAATACGCCCGGCCCCACGTCATGTCCCCCAGCAACCGCAACCACCCTTTCTACGTCCCGCTGGGTGCGGTCGACCCGGGCTTGCTGGGGTACAACGTGCCGGCCATCTACAGCAGTGACCCAGCGACGCGGGAGCGAGAGCTGAGGGAGCGGGAAGCCCGCGAACGAGACCTGAGGGACCGGGACCTGCGTGAACGTCTCAAGCCCGGCTTCGAAGTCAAGCCAGCTGAGCTGGAGCAGCTCCACACCGTGCCAGCTGCTGCCATGGATCCGTTCCCACGCCACGGTGGGCTGAGTCTGCAGACGGCCCCCGGCCTTCATCCCGCTTTTCCTTTCCGCCCGGGGCTGGGCCACTTGGAGCGGGAGAGGCTGGCGCTGGCAGCCGGCCCGACCCTTCGTCCCGACATGTCATACGCCGAGCGCTTGGCGGCCGAGCGCCAGCATGCTGAGCGGGTGGCTGCCCTCAGCAACGACCCCCTGGCCCGGCTGCAGATGCTCAACGTGACACCTCATCATCATCAGCATTCCCACATCCACTCCCACCTCCATCTCCACCAGCAGGATGCCATACATGCAGGTAAGGATGCCGTGGTGGTGGTGCCCTCTACAAAGCCCTGCTCTCCATCCTGCTGAGCCCTCCTTGCGCTCCCTCCCCCTGGCCCTGGGGAAGCCCAAAAGCTGCCAAGACCAGATTTTGTGGTCCCAGATCCTCCCTGATCACGTGTTGACCAGAAAAGGTCAACGTCATGGTCGTTCAGCCTTGCCCTTGCTCCAGTCCCACCAAAGGCACCGACATCTGTTGCAAGCATTGGGGTGTCTGCGATTTTGCTGCTTAGTGGCGAGCAGAGTTGGTGGCACCACGTCCTTCAGTTCTGCATCTCTGGGGTCGCAATACGAGTGCTGGGGTCCCACTGGCTGCCAGGGTGGTGGTGCTGTGGACTGCATCCCTCACCCTGTGGTCTGCAGGGGAAGCGGGAGCTCTGCTGACAACAGTTTTTAACAGTTTCCTTGAGGCTAACGAAGTGTTGGCTCTCTGGTTTGCTCCTGTGGCTCTTACTGTGGATGGTGGGATGGGATGGGAGAGAAGATGGGCGAATTGTAAGGAACTGGAGGCTGCTGTCCTTCAGAATTGAGTGGTGGTCACTTCCATTTCTATGTCCTACAGGAAAGCAATGTAAAAAGAAGTTTAGGGATTAAAACCTCGGGGAAGCAAAGCCCAAGCTACGATACAGTAGGAAAAAGTGCTGTGCCTGCTCAGGTACTGTGAGCGGTCAGTGGGATCTGGTGGCAGAGTCACAGACGGACACCCAGTCTGAGCAACCCCAGCTCCTCAGGGATGGCGTCAGGTAGAAATCGGTGTCCGTTCCCCCCATGCTTAGTAGCTGGGCACCTGCAGCCAGCACTCTGGCGGTGAACCCAAAATGCTGGAAAGAGCAGCTTTCCTGGAAATAGCATCTTGCATTTCGGCCTTAGATAGCACTTGCAAACTTGAGTGCCTGGCACTGAGCGTCTGTGCTGGCTGAGACCTGGAAATGGAAGCACCCGACGGGAGCATGCATGGGAGTGACAGCCGGGGTGGCAGGCAGGCGCGGTACTGGGTGCAGACGTGATTGCAGAGCAGGTCTGTGCAGAAGCGACTCTGAGGAGCAGTGCTTCGCCCCGAGGAGGGCAGGGACAGAGCTGTGCCAGGCTGGTCCCTATGCAGGTCAGCGCAGGTGGAGAGGGTGACACTTGGAAGTGAAGGGTGCTGCGTTGTCTGGCCTTGAGATCATTCCGTCTCTAACACACCCCGACCTTCTCCGTGTCCGTTTTGTTGTGCCTTGCGCCTTTCTCCGTGTCTCCTCTTGCAAAGCATGGGACAGTTACCTTGTGATCTCTTTTTCTTGTCAGCCTCAGCCTCTGTTCACCCTCTTATCGACCCACTCGCCTCGGGATCACACCTCACCCGGATACCGTACCCAGCTGGAACCATCCCCAACCCTCTCCTCCCTCACCCTCTCCATGAAAATGAAGTGCTGCGCCACCAGCTTTTCGGTAAGGACCCGTGCAGGGCCTGCTGGTCTGCTCTGGAGGGCATGAGCAGAGCTCCGAGGGGCAGGGCGGTGACGGGGTGCTGACAGGACCCGGCGCAGGTCTATTAAAGAGCTCTGGCGTGGTGTGGGACAGCTCCATGCTCTCAGGGGGTGAGCAAGTCCAGAGCGTGGGCAGGGCTGGGAAAGGAAGGGCAGCAGAGTCTTGGCTGAGGTGTGGGGCCACGGGAGAGGACGGAGCCGTTCACGCTGATGCGTTTATTCTCTGTTTCGCCTTTGGCTGCAGCTGCGGCCTACAGGGGCCTGCCGGGCTC